CAAAGTTCTTTCACCCAGCATTGATTGTTAGTATTAGTATTAGACTTCTGTGTGTAACTTGCCTAGCAATTAGGTTTTCAGCTGATTAGACTTATGATTCTGAATGGGTTTTTTTTTTTGTTTTTTTTTTGTTTTTAGTTTTTGTTTTGTTTTGTTTTGTTTTGGATGAATGATACATTTATATAGAGCTTTCTTGTGTATTGCTATACACCCAGAACGCTTTACAAAATATGTGGGGGGGGGGGGTTCTCCAGTAAGAGAACATCAAAAACAATACAGAAACCTCCTTTGAATGGTGACGTAAGCACCCTAGGAACCACCTAGCAACAGCCTAGCAACCACCCAGAAAACCAAAGCAAGACCCTAGCAATGAGCTAGCCATTTCAGAAAATTTAAAAAAAGAAAAGAAAAAAAAGGTAACACTTTATTTTAAGGTGTTCTTGTTACACGTTACATGTACTTACTATTATGATAACAATTAATTATGTATATTTACATGCAAGTAACCCTAAGCCAAACCCTAATCCTAATCCTAACCATATAGTAAGTACATGTAGTTAATTAATATTACTCAGTACTTATATGTATAATTACACAGTAATAAGGACGCCTTAAAATAAAGTGTAACCAAACAAAATGTAAAACAAAAACCATTTTCAACTTAAAACAGAGAACTTTTTATGCATTTTGGCCATTCATTTACATGGCAACAGCATTTTGGGGGCCTGGAAATGCAAACTTTTGAAAATGAGTTTCAAAGAGCAAGTTTTTGAAATCAATTCTGTTATTCTCTCTGTGTAAACTACAAAAATGTACATTTGTGAAACCGGTGACATCATGCACATGCAAATTACGTGTAAGTGAACACAAATTGACATCGCCAACTACTGGCCTGGCATGTATAATACAGCATTTTTAGCCATTTTTGAGGATCCATGTGACATTGTCATCTTTTTTAACCTTTTAAAAAACCAAAAGAAAAACTTTTCTATTTTTAGTACAATTGACCCTTCGCCGGGAGCTTGATTGACAGGCGATATGACCAATAATAACGGTGAATTTGTCTGTCAAGCAAACCGTCGGAGGAAGTGAACTTGAAAAATGGTGTGTATCGATGTCTTTCTGCGGTTGAAACAAGATAACTTCTGATGTTCACTCAATATTTATTTTGTGCTATAACTAGTATAGAAGAAGAGATGATCAGTTCATGTGGCGCAAGAGCCACAAAACGGCATTTATGGTTTGAATTTTGTTAAAAAATGACCAAATTTGAAAGCTGAGACTTTGTTTCATACCAAAAGTAGCTTGCTCTGTCTTGTCTGTCGTCGGCATGTTGTCAGTGTCCTGTGAAATCGCCATGGCTTGTCGGACATAGCAACAGTAACTAAGGGGGGAGGGTCTTTGCGAACGGTCAATTGTGTCATTTAAATGTACACTTAGTGTGAGATATCACATGTATCAGGGCAGGAACATCATCATTATAGTCAAACCAAAGTAAAACTGGATTGCTCAACATCACACTTCTGGGCTTCAGCCACAGCTCAGAAATGATTTATGCCTAAGACGTTACCTTATAGCCGATGAATGTGATGTTGGCTGAGGTCAATGTTGTTTAATCCTCAAAGTGATATCTGGGGTAGAAAATTCAGAGAATGCTTTACCTTGGCCATGACTGGGTTTGAGCAAATGTTAGTCTTGATTTTCTGCTGTAAAAGGACTACAATTAAGATAAAAATCAGACCTTCATAGATGAGGCTTTTTTCAAAGTTGCCGTGTGTATTTTCATAAAAGTTAACATTCTCAGTTTATGGCACACACACACTCGTAAATGCTGTGTTGTGGCCTGCTGGTGGATAAAAGAGTTTTAATACTGCATAATTGCATACGACAAACAATCCGAGGGCAAAAATGTGTGCTGCGTGTTTTTGTGGAAACAGAAAATTTGTGCATGCACGCAAACTGGCATACATTCGTCAAAGATGGCTTCCAGTCACAACATAGAAAAACACCCAGCTATGTCGTGCAATACAGCTGTCTTCGCCGTCTCCTATTTTTTTAACAGCACGGCTTATAAGATGAAATGCATTACTTGCCTCAGTTGGTACACTGTTAAATATCAGTTTATAAATAACAAAGAACAGAACTGTCAGCTGATATAAACAGAGTTTGACATAGCTAGTAAAACAACGTGAAGGTTGTACTACTCGTGTTCGGAGTCACGTGAAAAAGCTGCGGTGAAAGATGCTGAAAATATTTGTGTTCGTCTCATGATTGGAAAGAATACCTTATGAACTTGTTAAAGACGGCACGCGATGAATGGTCGGGAAGCAACGTGTAGTCTGACATGTTTCTTGTCCACGACACGACAAGATTTTAGGAGTCAAAATCGTGTAATCTGACACAGTGACTATTGTGACCGACAAAAATATTGTGTAGTCTGAACCCGGCATTACACCGACTTCATCGCCCAGGTTTATTTTTTCACAAGGTGTTAGTTTGGCTCAAATCACATAGAGTAACTGACCCTTTGCTAAGTTCTTCTTAGCTCTGCTTGGCTTTTCTTAATTTGTTCAATTAGCTTCCAAAATGTTCATTATGCCATTTATTAAGGAATAACTTCAACTGGAATATTGAGGTTTTTCTTTTTTCTTCAGTTTTTTTTCTTCTTCTTCCTTCTCTAGTCATGGACGCTGGGAGACACCCAAAGCTCCCAGCTCTCTCCATAAAGATGCTTTCAGACGTGACTTTACTGGAGCTCCTCAAACACCCCAGAACATCTGGAGCATTCCTAGTCCAATCCAGCTGACATATTCAGACCCTGTTCGCTATAATACTCACGTTTTTTAACCTATACATCTGTCTTCTTCCAAAACTCTCAGAAAGATGAAAATGATCCAAAAGACATTAAAGGGATGTCTAAATCACGTAGATGACAAACCGGGACCTCATAAATTGTTTCTGTTGATTCATTCCCAGACTATACATTACACTGTTCATTTACTGTGAAACACTCTCCAAAATACAAACACATCTGATTTTTCAATGATTAAGACGTCTTCTGTATTTCGGTAATCGTTTTCTCAACCAAAAAAGGATTATTTGTAGAGGTCTCTAGACTGAATGACTTCTCCAGAGGCCATCTCAACCTCACAAAGACATTACTCAAATCCACACCTGCTGTGAAGAGACGTAGTTTAAGATGAAGCTGGCTTGATTAGTATTAACTAATCTGGCTTTAATTTGTTTGCAGCACAGTGACAGCCGGCTGTTTAGGATGTTCTTATTAAAGTCAAACAGAGCGTGTTACGTGGCATTCTTCAGAAGGACGCAAAGCCGTTCCAGAATGCTTTGAGTGTGAGCATAGTTTTTCCATGGCACAATCCTCTCTGACACTACTCATGTCGCCTTTACCAAAGCTTCCCGCTGCTTCTTTTCAGCACATAAGACATAGACGGATGACTACACTAGGGAATGTGCTGGAAAGACAAGGAGAACGAATGGAATGACAAATTAGGCCAAAAACATGGATTGAAAGGAAAAAGAGAGCTGGAAAGCATATAAAAACTGTGTAATTGTAAGAACAAGAAACAAATGTCCACTACTGAAGAACAAAGCATAAATTGGACTCTTATATTTGAGTCAGTGACAAGATACTCAATATTTAGTCCAGACCTATTAAGCTATTTAAAAAAATGCAATTTACACCAACAACTTTACTACATCTTTTCTATGATTAAAACAAAAAGTTCTTTTTTTTTGTAGAAAATGGTGTAAATGTTTTTCAGAAATGTATGAAACCAAAAAAGTATATGTGTTTTAAGCTAGACGTTGAAAAGATTTCTCCTTTAACTTTCTAGTGGAAACATCTATTGTTTAATATGCCTGAATCAACCTGTCTACATTGTCTACCTGGCCATTTTACACCAACAAAAGAGTCAGATCTGTTAGAAAATCATCTTAAAGTGAACATGTTTTCCTAGAAAGCAGAACAACTGGTATCCTACACCATCGAATGCACTGACACACCACCTATTCCGTTACTCAACTATATTAAATGTTTGCTACAGCAGACAAGAGGAAAGATCACCCTTGACATTTGATATGAGACCAGCTCAGCCATTTCCATTAGAATGATCAAAGTCATGGAAACTTTATTCTTGAGTTTGCACCCAGAGATGATGTTTCAAGCACGTAATATAAGCTTTATGTCATACTGTGGATATATTAACAACAGCAAAAAAACATGTATTAAATGTCACTTCAGATCAAAGTACATTTTATCATTGCAGACCATTAAACCATCTGCAGCAGTGACACAGTTAAAACTGCTAGATCGATATTGTGCAAGTCTGGTGTGACTCGCAAGCAAAATGATCTGAAAAAAAAATATTTTCCACAATTTATTATTCATTTGTAATTCAACTAGTAATATAATGTCATATTTTTAATAACAGCTCAGTGTGTACCCCAAAAAGTATTTTTCCTGACCGCACTTTAATCAGATTTAAAGGGTTTGACTGTGTCCCAAATTATATTTAACTTTACCATATAGGAACTAAGCCAAAAATACAAATCTTTCAGAGTCTTTCAGAAAATGTCCACGTTGTTCAACAAAGTTTAAAAGTGATGTGAATGAATGTGAAGCTTTTCTCCGCCAATCAGTGAACAAAAGACCAGGTACCAATCAATCAATAAACAGCAAACCTTAATTGAATATACTAAAAGATTTATTTCAGCCTATCCTAAGTATCTTAGCAATGTTGAACACATTGTCAAAGCCAAAGTAGCACATTCAGAGCTCATGACAGTGGCACAGCGACATAATGAAGGACAAATAGACCCCTCGATCTGGTTTAGGGCACTCTGATGAGAATGTTTTATCAAGGGAAGTGACCTCACTTAAAGAGGACATGATGTCATCGGAAAGGGTTCTTGTAATTAAAGTAACCCCCATCTAAAAGGAAATGCCTTGATTGGAGTCTGACATTGACCATTCTTACCTTGAAATGACAGGAAGACCCGTGGCTGTGGTGGAAAAAGACCATGGATGCAGGTGACACAGAGGACGAGGGGAAGTAACAACTGCATGCTCGTCCCAAACGGCCAAACCCAGAACACTCCTGACCTCCCCATGACTGCTGAGGAGAGACACCCAGACCAGCCCACCTGCAAAGACAAGGTGAAGGAACGGTTAAGGACAAAAGAGTTGTACTGAAGAGAAAAGACATTTCAAAGGCTTCAGATGGAAAACAAATAATATATGCACTTTGAGGGTAGAGGTAGACACATGGAATCCCATTATTAACAATTATTTATGACCAATTTTGTTCAGTTAAATTATTAAATAGAAATTTTTAAATATTATTTAAATATACATATATGTATATATATATGTGACCCTGGAGCACAAAACCAGTGTTAAGTCGCTGGGGTATATTTGTAGCAATAGCCCAAAATACATTGTATGGGTCAAAATTATCGATTTTTCTTTTATGCCAAAAA